CAGCACATGGCTGGCTGAACAGCTGGAAAAGGCCAGTGGTTGGAAGGCATTGGTGGAGGCCTGCGCTCCAGCAGGCAGAGGGACAGACAGATGTAAGACAAAGGCAGGCAGACAGGCAGGCAGCAGCCCGAGTTAGACACCTGCTCTGTGGGGGTCTGGATGCCCTCTAGATTTCAGCACAAACGAGGATGCAATTAACTGGATTTGTTTGGCCCCCAGTGGAGGCTCTGTGCTCATGATCACCTTTAGGGAAAAAGATGATATGTTTTCTTTGGAGACGTTTAGCTTGAAGGGAGGGGGAGCTTTCATCCCCATGTTTTTCTGTTAATAAAACCACTCTTGTTTTAATAAGGATCCAAGCCCTCCAGCAGACAGTTCACGGGAAAGAAATACAGAAAATCAATAAACATATTAAAAATTGCTCAGGTTTATTCATAATTAAAGCAATAAAGTTAAGGCAACAATAAGATAGATATCATTTTCTACCCATCATACCGATGCCTTTTAGAAAGTCTCATAATATCTCCTGCTGATAAGGCTCTGAAGAAAACAGAACTTTCTTCCACTTGGTGAGGTCCCACCTGCTGCAGTCTCTTAGGAGGGGCATGGAGATTATCGGTCAGTATTAGCAAAAATCGTCAACATGCACACCCTAGAACCCCACAATTCCACTTCTAGGCACCTGCCCTACAAAAATATTTACATATGTGTGCAAAGAGGCATGTCCAGGAACGCTCATTGCATCTTGTTTATAAAAGTGAAAAGCTTTAGACACCTAAAATGTCCACGAGCAGGCCAGTAAACAGGGGCGCAGCTGTGCAGCAAAAGCTGTGTTTCAAAGACGTGAGGGAGATTTGTTCTGACATGCAAGATCCCCAAGGCACGCTGTGCACTTAAAAAAGCAACTTGCGTATTTCTCAATAAAACTGGGGGGAAATTCCACAAAACCCTTTTAAGAAAAGTGATAGACAAGAACCCCCTGTCCTTCCCTTCATGTAAATGTGTACATGTAAGGTCACACACTTCTATGCATTTTTCTTTTTACCTTTTATAAGGGTTTTCCTAATATGTGTCAGGTACTTGGGGAAAAAAAAAGAAAAAAAGAAACAACCAACCAAAACCAACAGTCAACTGCGGAACAGCACGTACCTCAAATGTATGATCTCATTTGTGTAGAGCACTGCAAACTTACACACACGTCTCGGCCAGATGTTCTCTGGGCCCCTCCTTCCTCTTTCCAGAGGCATCTGTCTAATCTCCAGGGTGAAAAGAGCTTTGTGTTTTCTGGCCCTCTTCTTTGGGAGCCTTCCACTGGGGTCTAGGTCTCTGTAGCCCCCCACCTTCACTAAGCATGAGCCATTTTCTCAGGCGCCATAAGGCTTGGCCCAGTCCCCTGTGCTCTAGGGATTTTCCAGGCCTCGGGCCCCCAAGGTTGTCACACTAGGCAGTGGAGGCTTCCCAGCCACGCTGTAAGGTGGGGATTGTTAGCTCCATCGTCCAGTGCGGAGACAGAGGCCCAAAGAAAGGAAAGACTTGATCAAGGCCAAATCGTGAGATTGTGATTAGAATGGGCAGAGCACAGGGGCTGCCAGAGATAAAATAAAGGATACACAGTCAATTGTGAATATCAGATAAACCGTGAGAATACATCTTCAGTGTAAATTTGTCTCAAACGTTGCACAGAGTGTACTCACACTAGGAACTTACTTGTCCTGGGACCCGTGGGTGGCTCAGTGGTTGAGCACCTGCCTTTGGCCCAGGGCGTGATCCTGGGGTCTTGGGATTGAGTCCCGCATGGGGGGGGGCCCCTCTGCAGGGAGCCTGCTTCACCCTCTGCCTGTGTCTCTGCCTCTCTGTCTCTGTGTCTCTCATGAATAAATAAATACAACCTTAAAAAAAAAAGAAACTTACTTGTCCTTTATCTGAAATTCAGATTTAGTTGGCGGTTTGTATTTGTATTTGCTCAGTCTGGCAGCCCTGGCCAGCAGAAGCCTATGGTTCCTGCTTCCCAGGCTCCTGGGTCCCCCAAAAGCACACTTCTCCGCTCTTAAGGTGGCCTTCCAGAAAGCTCGGATTTCATTGCAGCTGCTCCACTGGATCTGGGAAGGGCTTCCTCAGGGCCTTCAGGAATGCAGGCAGGGCCTGGGTCTGCTGGGCTCCAGATTAGTCCCAGTGCTGGACAGGTGGGGCCAGGGAGGGGGCCAGGCAGTCCAGACCATGTCATCCTCTCTAGGCAAGTTGCAGCCCTTCCCTTTCTCTCTCACACTTTCCTTCCTCCCTCCTCTTTCCCTGCTTCCTCCTCTTCCTCCCTCCTCTTCCTGGCCCCAGCTGGGCTTGGTTCTTTTGCAAATCACCTCCTCCTCCCCTCAGGGACTCTGGGGTTATTCCCTAGAGCCCAGGGTTCACCTCTGGTGATTGTATCAGTCAGGGTTCTCTAGAGAAAAGAAACCGTGGGACTTATGTCTGTACATGTATGTATGTGCAAATGCCTATGTGTGTGTATACAGAGATTTATTTTGAGGAATTGGCTCCTGCCATTATGGGGCTTGCAAGGGCAAAATCTGCAGGGCTGGCTTGCACATTGGAATCTGAGGCAGGAAGAGATGCTGCAGTCTTTAAAAAAAAATTGTTTTTTTTTTAAGTTTGAGCATAGTCTACAAACAATGTTACATTAGTTTCAGGTGTACAATATAGTGATTCAACAAGTTTGTACATTATGCTATGCTCAGTACAATTGTAGCTGACACCCGTCACCATACAATGTTATTTTAATATCACTGACTCCGTGTTCCTGCCGTGCTTTTTACTCCCATGATTTATTCCTTCCATATCTCCCACTCCCCTGGACCTATTTTGCCCATCCCCTACCCCCCTCGTCTCTGGAAATCAGCAGTTTGTTCTTTGTATTTATAGGTCTGAATGTGCTTTTTGTTTGTTGTTTTCGACTCCACATATGAGTGGAATCATATGGTATTTGTCTTTGTCTGACTTATTTCACTTAGCATAATACCCACTAGGTCCATCTACATTGTCACAAACAGCGTGATTTCATCTTTTTTTAGTGTTTGCACAATATTCCACTGTATGTGTATATGTCATGTCTTCCTCATTTGATATCCAATATTCCTATTGATGGACACTTAGGTCACTCTGTATCTGGGCTGTTGTAAATAATGCTGCCATAAAAATAAGGGTGCATATATCTTTTCACATTAGTGTTTTCATTTTCTTTTTTTATTGTTGTTTTGTTTCATTTTCTTTTTTTTTAAGATTTTTAAAAATGTATTTATTTACTCATGAGAGGCACAGAGAGAGAGAGAGAGAGAAAGAGAGAGAGAGAGAGAGAGGCAGAGACACAGGCAGAGGGAGAAGCAGGCTCCATGCAGGGAGCCCCACGTGGGACTCGATCCCAGGTCTCCAGGAGGATCACACCCTGGGCTGAAGGTGGTGCTAAACTGATGAGCCACCGGGGCTGCCCTTTGTTTCATTTTCTTTGGGTAAATACCCAATAGTGGGATTATTGTTTCATACAGTATTTCTATTTTTAATTTTTTGAGGAAACTCAATTCTATTTTCCATAGTGGCTGCACCAATTTGCATTCCCACCAACCGTGCGTGAGGGTTCCTTTTTTTTCCCCATGTCCTCACCAACACTTGTTTCTTGTATTGTTGATTTTAGCCATTCTCACAAGGGTGAGGTGATACCTCATGGTGGTTTTGATTTGCATTTCCCCGATGATGAGTGATGCCAAGCATCTTTTCACATGTCTGTTGGCCATCTGTATGTCTTCTTTGGAAATAAGTCTATTCAGGTCCTCTGCCCCTTCTTAAATTGGATTTTTTGTTTTTCTAGTGCTGAGAGTTGTATCAGTTCTTTATATATTTTGCATTTTAACCCCTTCTCAGATACATCATTTGCCCATATCTTTTCCCATTCACTAGGTTGCCTTTCTGTTTTGTTGACGGGTTCCTTTACTGTGCCAAAGCTTTGTATTCTGATTTAGTCCCAGGAGTTTTTGTTTGCTTTTGTTTCCCGATGTTGCATTCTTGAGCAAAATTTCTTCTTCGCTGGGAAACCTCAGTCTTTGCTCTTCAGGCCTTTCAACTCATTAAATGAGGCCTATCCACATTATCAAGGATTAGTAATGTCTTTTACTTAAAGTCCACAGAGTGCAAATGTCAACCAAAGCTCCAAAATAACTTCATAGCAACACCTAGACTAGTGTTTGATGGAATAACTGGGAACTATAGGCTACCCAACGAACAGATAAACTTGACCCTCATGGTGGTCTAATCATTAGGGAAGCTGAGAGAGAATTTGGACTTAGACCAGGGACTGCAGGGCCTGCCTGGGGACAGTGGGCCCTCCAGTGGCTACAGGTAGATCCCTTCTTTCCTGCCCTTCCCTCCTTTGATTCTCATGGTTCCTGCTCAGACTGACCCAAGGCATTAAAAGGCCATCTCCCCTGGGAACTCTACATTGGGGGGAAACAGGATGTGCTCTGTAGAGGATGCCTCCTGAGGGGAGCTGTGGCCTGAAATACTTGCCAGAGCTGGGCTTGCAGAAGCCACAACAAGTTTGGGATCTAACCCTGTTCTGGCTACTGACTGGCTTTGGGGTCCTGTGCCAGTATCTACCTCTCTTTAGAAATGATGGAGAGTGGATCCCACTGGCCCCTCAATGGGGCCAAATCATGTGACCCGAGAGCCAGGGTAGTTCTCACAGGCAAAGTTTCTGAGATAAGTATCAGAAACTCCTCCTAAGTTGCTTACAGAGTAGCAGGAGAGAAGACTGTGAACCAAGCCAATAAGATACAACAGGAACACAAGGTGCTGGGTCCAAGGCCTGAGTCCTCTGGGAGAGTGTGGCTCCACCCCCATGGCCAGATATATCTTCCACAGGCTCCTGCCCCTGGAAGAGCAGACTTTCCAAGAGTCTGCTCTGTGCCTGGCTTCCTGTGTATCCTTGGCTATAGCTTAATAGCTAAGCACCAGCTGTGATGGCAGGAGGCCCCCCTACTATCAAGGAGGAGATGGAAACATCCATCGCTGAAGAGCTGATTCCTGGAAGCTATGGGAAAAGCCAGGAGCACCTGGTGATAGCAGGTGAGGAGCCCCTGTAATGTCCCTTTCCTTTGGGTGTCTGCACCCAGTCACGTGTTGGAGAAGGTGTGTTCATGGCTGGGAAGACTCATGTATATGCAAGTATGTGTGGCTATGTGTGTGTCTGTGCCTTGGTGTGCGTATACCTGTATTTGTGCCTTGATGAACAGGAAGCTGGGGGGAAAGGTAGTGATGATGTGAGCATTTTGAAGCCTGTGAGAGAGTAGGATGGGATCCACATGTGTGGTCCTTATCTCCCCCTGTCCAAGCTACCACTGTGTTTATGGCAAAGTATACAGAGCGCTCAGTTTATAAGATCAATCAGACCAATTCTCTCTCCTTTTTAATGCCTTTTCCTCCTTTAGAGTAAAATCCAAACTCCTTTCCTTGATCTACAAGAGCCAGCCAACGCCACCTCCTCAATATATTTCATGCTGTGGTATGATGACCCACAGCACACTGCATTTATACTTGTCCTCATAATACCCGAAGGCTGATTCTTCCTGATAGCCTTTGTGTTGACTGTTACCTCTGCTTCGGATGCTGTTTTCCTAGATTTTCCATGGCTGCCATCATTTTTGTCTTTCAGGTCTCTGCCTCACAGGTGTTTCTGGCTTTTCTAGAAGTAGCCCTTCCTTCCACCATGTTGCCCTGTTCTTATCATTTTGGGAGCGTGTATCTCTTGATCTGAGTTAACACTGATAGATTATACCCATTTTGCCCCCTCACTTCAGCTAAGCACACATAGACAGTTGATTACTAGATTGCTGAGATCTTGTGTCTTGGTCATTGCTCTCCCTCCAGTAACCTAGCCCAGAGTTTGGCCCTCAAGAAATACTTACTAAACTTTTAAACAAATGAACAGACTGAGGCTTGGGATCTGCCAGGGGACAACAGTGAATGATTATTGAATGACTCCTAAGAAGTTTGGGTACCTTATCCTCTTTCTGGTGTGTCCTGTGTCCAGGAAGCCTTGGTATAGCCTCTATGGGTGTTTCTGGGGCCTCTCTTCTTTTGCCTAGAAATGATGGATCATGGATCCCAGTCTGCGGGTGCTTCTCAGCGGCGACAGAAGGCGGATCCAAAGGCTGCTGGCTCTGCTGCAGGTCAATCGGGTTGGAATATGACTGGCAACCGGAGCAAGAAAGCGGTACTGTATGGAGTCCTTGGCATGCAGTGGCTAGGCTAGGGTTGGGACTACAGACTATAGGGGCTCCAGCCTCATGATGGTAGGTTGAGCAGAGCCAGATGTTGACTTGGGGGCAAAGGAAAAAGCTTTTGTGTACCAGTGAGGCAATGAAGGCAGGGATGTCCTTTGAGAGGTCAGGGCCATCCTTTGGTAGGCTGGGAGCTCAACCTTGGGTTTCCAGAACACCGGATTCACATATTCCTTGGGGACTACATACACACTTTATTCTGCAAAACTCTATTATGTGTGAAATGACACTTTCCTTTATAAATAAATAATTCTACATGTATATTTCCTTCCTATATCTATATTATATATATTATCTATATAAATTATAACTATATAAATTATTTAATTATCAACTAAATAATCAGCCTGGAATCATGAGAATCATTGATGAATAAAAGGAAGGAAGGATAGGAAAAAATGGATCTGTCTGTAGCCATTGGAGGCCCCACTGTCCCCATGCAGGTCCTACAGTCCCTGGTCTAAGTCCAAATTCTCCCTCAGCTTCCCTAATGATTAGACCACTATGAGGGTCAAGTTTACCTGTTTGTTGGGTAGCCTGTAGTTCCCAGTTATTCCATCAAACACTAGTCTAGGTGTTGCCATGAAGGCATTTTGGAATTTTATTTTATTTTATTTTTTAAAAGATTTATTTATTTATTTATGATAGAGAGAGAAAGAGAGAGGCAGAGACACAGGAGGAGGGAGAAGCAGGCTCCATGCCGGAAGCCCGATGCGGGACTCGATCCCGGGACTCCAGGATCGTGCCCTGGGCCAAAGGCAGGTGCTAAACCGCTGAGCCACCCAGGGATCCCCATCATTTTGGAATTTTAGTTAGCATCTACACTCTGTGGACTTTAAGTAAAAGACATTAGTAATCCTTGAGATGGACCTCATCTACGCTATTAAATAGAAATATACATACATGGGATCCCTGGGTGGTGCAGCGGTTGAGCGCCTGCCTTTGGCCCAGGGCACGATCCTGGAGACCCGGGATCGAATCCCGCGTCGGGCTCCCGGTGCATGGAGCCTGCTTCTCCTTCTGCCTGTGTCTCTGCCTCTCTCTCTCTCTCTCACTGTGTGCTTATCATAAATAAATAAAAATTAAAAAAAGAAATATACATACATAAAACAATATGATTCTCAGGTCTGGGAAAAGATTAAGACAAGTTAGTTTCCTATGTTCCCTGGCTGTTAGGAAATCCAATCAATTGAATCTGACCATTATGTAGCCAATCCTTTAGAGTACATTTAATGTGGGTTAAGGAAAGCTCTGGAAAACTGGCAGGTACACTGTTACAAAGGATACTGGGAAAAGGCGGTCATTTTGGAGAGGAGGGAGACGTGAGTGTTCTAGGGAATCCCGTGAGATCTCTCACTGTGTAGCCAATCCTTTAGGTTACATTCACTGCTAAGTGAGGAGAAGCTTTGGAAACATGGTTGCTATACTGTTGCAAAAGTTGCTCCAAAAAGAGAACCCAGTTGGAGAGGAGAGGGACCTGACTGTTGAAGGGAATCATCTGAGTTTCAAGTTCTGTATCCAAGCTGTTCCACACTTTCACTGTGAGGGAGGGAAAGCTTTAGAAAAATGGTTCTTATACTGTTGCAAATGTTACTGGGAAAAGGCAACTCGGTTGCAGAGGAAGGGAGACCCAGTGTTCTTGGAAATCATCTGAGTCTCATTGTTCTGTACCTAATCCTTTAAGCTACATTCACTCTGGGTGAGGGAATGTTCTAGAAAAAAAATGGCAGCCATATTGTTGCAAAGTACTGGTAGCCATGTTGGAGGAAGGACGACAACTCGACTATTCTAGGAAATCAGTTGAGTCAGGTAGTTCTGTAGCAGATTCTGTTAGCCAGAGTCACCATGGTTGTTACACTGTCACAGAAGCTAGTGGGGAAAGTCAACAAGATTGGAGATTCGGGAGCCCTGGCTGTTCTAGGGAATGAGATATGATAAATGCCTAAGTGATTCCACTGCCAATGAATAAAGAGAAAAAGAGCTCCCAGAGACCTCTTGGGAATGGAAATAAGCCAGAAATACTGAATTGGTTTCCCGTCTCCAATGGCAGAAGTCAAATCAGGTTGCTCCAGCAGGTCAGGCTCCAGCAAGCCACCCATGCCCATGAGATTGAGGCAAAATGGGAATAGGGGGGGCAGTGGGGAGATATAATATCTGAATTAATTGCAGTTACCTTTTAGAACCACAGGAATACTTTAAAAAGAAACAGCCAATATATTGATATGTATTATATATTAAATATATTATATATATAAATATATTGAATTTAGAAATTAGACATTTAGAAATAAGAAATTTACCAATTCTATTTATTATTGACTTTTGAGCACCCCCCCCCAAATGGAACTATCACCACCTTTGACAGAATCACAGCATGAAAGGCCAAAAATTCATGATAGTGTTTTGCTGATTTGGGTGTTGAGGAAGTAGTGTGCCTTGAAAAGTAAATGAAAATAAAAATAACACTATTTGAAGTAGTAGGCAGAAGCTAGGAGTTAATGAAGTTCATAGATTTTCTTAATCTCCATCAAAGTGCTAGCTATAAAATTCTTATATATTATTTTGCATATAATTCTAAATTCACAACCATTCCTGGTTTTATTTATTTTATTTTATTTTTTAAAGATTTTATTTTTCTATTCATGAGAGACACAGAGAGAGAGCGAGGCAGAAATACAGGCAGAAGCCGGCTCCATGCAGAGAGCCTGACGTGGGACTCGATCCCGGGTCTCCAGGATCACACCCTGGGCTGATGGCAGTGGCACTAAACCGCTGAGCCACCCGGGCTGCCCCCATTCCTGGCTTTAAATGACTACTCTGCGACTTACCTGTTGTGTGACTTGGATAAGTAACACGACCTCTCTGTGTCTCAGTTTTCCAATCTTTCAAAATGAGATGATAGTGATACCTATTTTGAGGGGTCGTGATGAGGATTTAATGGTTTGATGTTGGTCAGGGCTTAGAGAATGGCATGTGGCATGTGTGAAACCAAATAGCTTGTGACATTTTTATTCTTGCATTGGAAGCCCAGAGCTGAGATTTGAACCCAGGTGGGTCTGGCACATTCTGTTCCTCTAGCCCACACTACTTCCTCAAGGCATGAGATACCCTAGCCCCAGAGCTGTGGGCCAGACACATCCACTCCAGATACGGATAAAAATGACAGCTGCTGAGATGGCTGTGCTCACTCACAGACTCAGAGATGTGCTCACTCAGAGACTCAGAGTCTCAGAGAGTCTCCCAGTGGCCAGAGTTCTATCCTGAACTCCAACACTTACTGTATGTCCTTGGAAAGTCCAGTCGTTTGCCAAGCCTCAATTTACTCAGCTCTAAAACTGAGTTTTTCTATTCTCCTCTCTGACTCAGCTGATGTCTGCATGTGACAGCATTGGCAGAGAACAGGGATCCTTCCTTCCCCATCGTTTGGATGGCTAGAAGCTACTGAGGACGATGGTGTGGGTGGAGTGGTGACAGTTGGCCAACTTGTGGGATTCCCAGGCTCTTCTAGTGGTCTGAAGCCGCCAGTCCCTGATTCCAGAGGATCAGTTACCACATGACTCCTGATAGGGTACATCATTCATTGGTCCTGGGCAGTGTGAGGCAGCTGCTCAGCTGAGACCGAGTAGGCTACTTTTACTGACCGTTCCTTTCTTTAGGGGCCCCAGCTGCCATTACCCAGAATGTTGAGAGAACCAGGCCGCAGTGATGCCCATTCCCAGGAGCATCCTCATGGCTTCCAGAACATGAGGTTCCATTATGAGCGGTAAGAAAGATCCCAGGGTCCCTGCAGGAGGAAAGCTGGAGCTCTTTGGGCAGAAACCAGAGTGGATCAGATGGGCTAGCAAGCAGACTGACCGGGAAGGTGTTGTGAACAGCTGGCCATGCTTGGAATTCTGGGGCTCTGTTGCCCCCTCACCATCACTCATGAAACTCCTGGCCTCTTACCCATTTGTGGACTCTGAGTACCCTGAGCCTGGGCTAGGATGGCTTCCAGCCCTCCGCTCCCAGGACCTACTTACCTGGGAAGTGAAGGACTCAGGAAGACAGAATCATTGTCTCCAAAAGCCCCTGACTTTACCTGCTTGCCCTCATGGCCTTCCTATGCTCCCTGCCATGCCTAGCCAGGGACCACCAGCACCTCTGACCCTCCATCTTTTCTTCTTCCCCAGCAACCCAGAAACTGATATGATGACAGAGATTGGCCTAGAAGAGCTCAATGGATTGGAGATGGAAGTCATGAAAAGGCAGGTAAGTATCTTCCATGCCATGGACCCACTGGGAGGGTGGAAGGGGCAGGTGGGCCTCGGCAGCAACAAGACCACCCCCTTTGAAGTCATCTTAGCCTCTGGCAGTAGAGGTGAAGTCAAGCTCCCCTCCTTTCCCTCCCGGTCCTCGGGGCTCTAGTGTCCCATCTTGATGGCAGCCTCAGCTCTGTGTCTTTCCCTGAGATGTGTGGGGAGGGAATGGGAGAAGCCAAAAGGAGGATGAAGAGGCAACAGAAAAGGGTAGAAGTCTGTGGAGAGAGAATGTTGGTAAGAGGTCTGGGGGAGGTGTTGTCTTCCTAGGGACAGAGGACAGCAGGCCAGGAGGCGCATCTGCCCTGGTGGCCCTGTTCAGCCTCTGGGTGTCACCCATCCTGGAGCCCTCACTCTGGAGGTGCTGGCTGCTCCCCAGGACTGCAATGCCCTCCCCCGACTCCCCAGGCACAGCTGGGACAGGCTGGCTTCCTCCACACAACTGGGGTTTGGAACCCCACCCAGGGGCCTAGGCCGCTGCGCCTGCGAACACAGGCAGCCCAGCCCTCGGGCCCACCCAGCCCCTGGTTTCAGAGGCTCTGCCTGCTTCTCACCCAGAGGGCAGCAAAGCCCCTTCCTGTACTAAGTTCGTACTTTCCCCAGGGGTGAGCCATGGGCTCCCCCATCACTCACTCACCAGCCCCTCGTCCCTACAGCTGCAGGTGATCACCAGCCGCCTGCGAGCCCTGGAGGACCAGGGCGCCACCTGGCGCCACAGGGAAGCTCTGTTCTTCACCGTGCTGGTGTCAGCCTGTATTGCCAACCTGTGGCTGTGGATGCGCCAGTGATGCCTCCAGCGCCAGAGCTCGTTTCTCCTTCCTCTTGCCTTTCCCCCCTGCCCCACTCTTGCTCGTGCTCCTTCCATCTCCCAGCAGCCCTTAGCAGCGTCAGAGCCATTTGTCCACCTCTCCCCCGCTGGCCTGGGGAGGCCTGTGCTGCTGGGAGGTCGGAAAAGGGCAGCGTCCTGCTGGTCCATCAGTGCTCCATGATCACCATCTGAGAGCTGAACCCCGCCAATGCGCCCTCGGTGTCCCTTCCGCTCCATCGTCTGTGGCAGGGCCCTGGCTGCGCCTTCCCAGTTTTCTTCCACTTTGTGTATGGGGCTCTACACGCAGAACATGCTCAATAAACGCTTACTGATACAGCAAACCCTGGTGGCTGAGCTTCTTTCATCCGGGATTCATGTGGACAGTCACTGTTGCAGGGACTGGACTGAGGCCCCACCCCAGGGGTCCTGGTCTCCTCCCCCCCAAGATCCCCTGCCCAGGCAGGGAGCCTTCTGAGGGGCAGGGCTTGGCAAAGTCCTTCCTGTTGGGCTCATGCCCATGAGTGCTCGTGGGGAAGCTATTCTTCCGCAGTGTGTCTGGGCCAGGTGCTGCAAGGACTCAATCAGAGGAAACTTGGAGTGCACCAGGAGCCTTTCCGTTTGCCCAGGACGAAACTGAGTCCTTGAGAGGAAGAGCATGGCCCTGGGTCATCCAGCAAGCCTGGGGCAGGGCTAGGTCTGGAATGAGTTCTCCTGTGTTCCAGCCTAGGCCCTGCCTGTCTCATACAGACTGACTGAGGGCAACGCCCTGACTCAGCTCTAGAGGCAAATGGGAGGCCACATGGAGGGGCTTTGCCCCTCTCCCCCATGTCCACAGCCCCCATGAAGCTAACTTCACACAGGGCAGATTGCTGGTAGGGCGCTGGGACTTGGGCTGAACAAATGGGAGTGTCACTGTTTGGGGCCTGATCCCAGATGCGCTGAGCTGCAGGAGACCTTGGGAAGAGCTGTTGCCCCTTTGCCTGGTGCCAAGCAATAAATACATGTCTCTTGGTGGGGCAGGGACCCAGAAAATTCTCATTGGCTTTAGTGGCTAACTGGACCTTCCCCAATCCCCCAAATCTGTCCAGCTTCTTCATCTATAAAGGTAACAGAGTATGTTAGTCATTAGATATAAAATCAACATGACTGTATGTGTGTGTGTGTGTGTGTGTGTGTGTGAGAGAGAGAGAGAGACAGAGAGAGAGAGAGAGAGAGAGAAAGAGATAGAGACAGAGGCAGAGAGACAGAGATAGAGACAATGGGAAGAGACGTGAGAGAGACAGTGGGAGAGGGATGGAAGGGAGGAGGGAAGGAGAGAGAGAGAGACACTGGAGCTGTGGGCCTGCTTTGCTCCTGCCCCATCCTCTGATACTCAGTGGCCCCCACACAATGAGGGGGTTCTTCTACTCTTGACTCTGGGAGGCCGCCTGTCAGCCCTGTGGGATACCATGCATGTGGCCACTGGGTCTGGGCCCTGGTGAAACTGGAGACAAGAACACTTAATGAAGATAGTTGAGAGCTTCCCCCTCTGGTCCTAGAGTAGAGAAGGTAATGGAGTGCCAGAGGAAGGCCCTCTGTGGAATGGGGAGAGGGCGGCCTCCAGACACAAGTGCTTCTAGTTGGGAAAGGCCAAGAGGCCTGGAGACGACCTGGAGCCTCCCTGTCCACTCCAAATGGACCCTGCTGCCCAGGAATCATCCAAGGGCTAAAAGGAAGGCTGGGTAACGCCCTTGTAGGCCACCCCATCCCTCCCCACAGCCTCAGGGCAGACCAGGGCCCAAGCTGCAGGGACTTATCAAGGGGAACAGCCACAAGTCCAAAGTCCCCACTGCCTTTGAGGATGTGGAAGGAGGAGTAGAGCCAAGCCAAGCCGAGTAGAGAGGCCTGGATTTAAGGATGCCAGGAAACCTGCCCTTGAGTGGCTCTCTGAAAGCTGCCCCTCTCTTCTGTTCCAGCTGGCTGTGCCAGAAGGCTCAAAGAGAAGTCTGCTGAGGGTCAGAGCAAGACCTGCCCTCTGGGACATGGGTGTGCATGTGTGTGAGAGCAGACACGGACATGTTTGCAGAAAAAGTCTGGCTGAATATATGTTGCGAAACAAAGGTTCACCCTTGGGAGCAATTTAGCCGAGATGCAAACAAACACTGCGGCAGCCCCCTGGAGAGATGTCTCCTGGGCTGGGTGAGCTAAGGTGGAGCACTTGCATAGACCCTGGCTCCCCTCCACATCTTACCCTGTGGTGTAACTACTGTTGCTAGCCTTGCCTGCTCCATCTACAGAGGCCTCCAGAAGGGAACTGGAGCTAGAGCTGCCCCATGCTGGCCCCCAGGATGGCCTGGGAGGCAGGCAGTGGGCTCCTCTGCAGAGTTCTGGGAGGGGCCCTATTGTGGGGGCTGGCACCCCCTACCAGGCCTTCTGAACAATCTGAACAATTGCACGAGTCCTGCTTGGTAATATCCTCCTGAGAAAGGCAGACCTTACAGGTGGACCTAACAAAGCCCCTTGCCCCACAGTGTTAAGCCTCACTATAGAACTCACTCCCACGATCAGCTTGCTATGCACCCCCGAAAACTCTCACGGTCACATATGTGACATAGCCAGCAGTGACCTCCTGGTGTTGTGCAGATGTGTCTACTTGTTTGAGTCCTGGGCTTCCTGCATGGGATCTCACGTGAGCTGTCCCATACAACCCACTGAGAGATGGGCCAGTTTCCTAGCTGCGTGTGCGGGTGACTATAGCAGCTATAAGCCTCTGATCATGCCTGTCCCACTAGGCTGGCACTGAGACCCCCGCCAGCCCCGGCAATTGCTGAAACTCCATATCTTGGTTCTTCTGTCTCAGGTTGGCTTCCCAGCAGCTGAAGCCTGGCAGAGGAAGGTGGGCATGTGGAGAGAAGGATGTGAGGTGCACAGAGGGGGCCTGGTTGTACTTGGCCTCTTGAAAAGGAGCTAATGATCCGTCACCCGATGGTTCTTGTCGTCTTTCTCCAACCATGGCCCCTCTTAGATTTCTCCCTGGCTTGCATTCTGGGAGGTAGGCTGGCCAGGACTGTGGCCAAGGCGGGAGGCAAGTGCATGGGGGCAGTGAGCTCGCAGCTTTGAGTCCCCAGACACAAAGCCCTGAGTGATGCATGTTCCATGTAAGGGAGGGCTCCTCAGGGAGCTTGGGAGGGGCTGGCTCGTGGATCTGGGCAGACAAGCAGCTTACACAGCCAGGCAGCCCAGCATCCAGCACTCACCTTCTTGCCGCCTGACCTGTACAGGGCCCATAGTGAGAGGGTCACGCATCCAGCCAGCAGGCACGGCAGCTTCTCCAGTGGGCAGATGCCCCCTGGGGCCAGGGTCCTGAGCTTGCTGCAGCCGTAGGCATGAGCTCCTCTGGGCCCCTGCCAGCTTCCCATGCTGGTGTCAGGTGGGGTGGCGCAGCTCTCTGACTGGGAGGCTGCCAGCTGTGTGGGGGAATCAGGGACCTTACTGGCCTGGGAACAGGAATACCAGGAAGTCACTGCTGGCTTCAGGTGCTGATGAACCCCCAAGGGCTTATCTCTGGTTGGAAGCTTCACAGACGGACCAACGGATGCTGAGTGTGGCCAGGGGACACCCTGCCTCTGAAGCCATCTGATTGGTGAGGAAAGGGGCTGGCATTGGGTTGAAGCAGCTGCTGATCAAGGGTTGGCACCTTCTTGTAACCAGGGCTGGTGGCCTCCATGGGGTAGGAGCCGGAGTCCATGAAAGTGTGCAGGTCCTAGAGTGTGTCTTGACAGGGCTTTCATGTGACTGGTCTTTCCCAGCTGAGGGAAAGTGACTGTGTGGGGAACCATTGTCCCTTGTCAAAGCAGCTGAATCAAATCCTGGGGCTCCAGAAGTATGGAGGCCCCGAGTGCCATGCTAGGATTGGCCCAAGGCAGCTGTCTTTGTTCTCTTCTAGGAGAGTGGCAGGGAGAGTGGCTGAGGAAGACTTGGAATAGAGGAGCTGAAGGGCTGCTTGGCCGGACAGGCTTTGGTGGGAGGGAAGGAAAAGCCTGTGGGCCTTACCACCTGCCCCTTCCTCCTCCACTGCCTGCCTGACCCAGGGCATTTCTGGGCATCCCAGTCTCAGAGCATGGAATGTGCCACTCGGAGCTCCATGGCTCTCTGCATATGAGAAGTGATGGAGGTAGGGGTGGGGGTTATGTAATGCTTCTTCCAGAAACCCTACTGGGATTGCAGTCTTTGTTTTTGGCCCTTCAAATGCACCCTGGCTTCTTTTGAAGAGCCTTGAGGGGGAATGACCACTGCAGGTCTCTCAGGTTTTGAGAACCAGCCCCTCTGCCATTTGGGCAAAAGCATCTGCAGGGAAGTTCTTGGAACTTTTGGCTGAGGGAAGATTCCACATTCAGGCCTGGGGCAGGGATAGGCTCTCCATTTTGGCCCTTCAGCTGATCTTGATGCCAGTCCAGAAAGCGTCAGCTCCATCCGTGTTGGCCTGTGGCCGTAAGAAGCAGCTAATGTTGGGGTGGCCTGGTCTTTAGATTTCCTGCCAGTGTCCTGGCCCTGCAGTTGGCAGAGTGTGAGCAGCATCCTCAGAACTGCCAGGACCAGATATAGCCACACTCCACCAGGCTCCAAAGTGAGATGGCCCCACAAGACATGAGGCTGCAAAGGTGGGTCTGGTGAGATCCAGAAGGGATTTGAATGCCCCAAAGCAGAGTTTGGTATTTCTCATGTAGATGGTTCCTCCATCCATTCGATAAGTACCTGACACTGTCCTTAATTCTGGCACTTAGCAGGGAATAAGGCCTACTCGGTCCTTGCTCACATGGATGTGACTGACCATTTTATGAGAGAGACACAGTAAACTAATGTAAGGACATGGTAAGTTTACAATACAAAGAAAGTGGGGAATAGTGAACAGAAACGAGGTGTAGATATGGGAAACTGCAAGTTCAGGAAATTCATTTGTTTATTAATTCGTTCATTCATTCACTTCCCAAATACATATGT